CTGCTTGTAAAACGTGTGTTTACCTTATTGCGTGTAGAGTAAAATGTGAGTATGCTCGGAGTCTCCGTCCTGTTCGTAAAGAGCCGCGGACACGTAAATAAACGTGTGATTTAATACCGTAACTTGGGAGCGAGATCTCGCGTCGGTGTGGTGGCCCTGCACCAAGACCTGTGGTAGAAAAAGTTAAAGACATTAAAGTTTGTGTTTTGCTTTGTCAGTGAACGCTTTATGTTGTAGTGCTCTGAATTTAAGAGAAATCCCTGTCAGTATAAAGGATAGCCACTGTCACAAGCATTTTATATTTCTTTTTCATCTGTTGGTGATTCAGATGCGTCCCAAGGTGCTTGAAGACATTTACACACAGCAGAATATAAAAATGAAGTTCTGATGTTATAATTCTTTTCACCCTCACACTTTAATTTCAATGAACAGTTTTTGCTGCCATTATAAGCCACGTTTTTGAACACCTGTGGTTCTTGAAACTTTCTGTTTATATTAATAAGGAAAAAAAAGAAATCCTCATGTTAAATATTAGCAGCTTGAAAGGGCAACAAATAGGTGGGCAGTCCTGAACCTCAGAGTCTTTCCTTCATATCCTATTCAAATTTAGGAGCAGGAAGCTTTAGTATTATGTTTTCCTAGTGAAATGGCATTCCTTGTGCTGCTTGCATGTTAAGCAGTGTAAGATTTCTTGCCATGAGTATCAAGAGGTTGTCTTAATGTTTTGTCTTAATGTCTGTAACAGTTTATTGTTCAGTGTAAGAAGTATCTGCCCTTAGGAGAGAAAATTAAAGGGCGCGTCTAAAAACGTGGCAAGAAATAAATATACCTATTAAATTACACTTGTGGAATATCTGACTAATGGGTTGTGGATATCTGGAATAGGAAAGCCTAGCAAAATAAAGGCCTAAAGCATAATTCACCGTTCTTTTAAAAGGGTTCAAGAATCCTTTAGTGGGATCCTGGGGTGTAAATTCTGCATTAATTGAGTGAGGAGGCTTAAACTTACAGAGAGTTCTCCACTTCTAAAACATCACAGTAACTCTTCCATTTCTTACTGTACTGTCATTCTGGAGTCCAAGTACCTAAATATTTCAGGTGTGAGTGCTTGGAGATGTGTGTAACACTTAAAAACTGCAGTACATCTATGGGAGAACTTTGTTACAGAAGCTTGTAACCCCATGGGGATGTCTTTGCTAAGTCACTGCTTACCTGTCAGACAGGGAATCAAATGACTGACCACATACACGCTGTCTCAGGGATGATTTTTCCCCCCATTCCAAGCAGTACAATTTCCTTTGGTTACTTCAGCGACACAAAGTATTTCCTTGCTTGTTCTGCAAATAAAATACGCTGCTCTAAGTTGTATTAACTTTACAGGATAGGTGTAAACATACACCCAGGGCTGAGCCCTCTCTTTGGTTCTTCCATTTCTCGTTGCTGCTTGGCTGACATGCAGTTTTTAAACTTTTTTTTTCCTTTTTTTTTTTTTTTACCTCACTTTCCTGCAGGGCAATTAAAGCTGGAGGCAAAATAATTGTCTCTTTTTTTTTTTTTCATTTCTCCTTCATATTGGAGCCCACATAATGGAAGTATTTTGCAAATGGGAGCTGCTTCTACCAGTTTTAGTATTTCTTGAAGAAAGTGCAGGTTTCCTGGA